CACACACACACACACACTTTAAAGCACACACATAGACAAATATACTTCAGCTAGCTCTTTGTGTTTCCATGTCTGCCTCTCCTCCAGCCCTCTTAACATGAAAGATATGTGACATCTCTCTTTGTTCTCCCTCTCTCTCTCTCCATCTCTCATCAGCCTCTCTCGTCACCTCTCCATCATTACACCTCACCTCAGCCCTCCCCATCTTTTTAACTCAATTCCTGTCTTTCTCTCCTTATTAATTCTCCCTCCATCTCTCCCATCAGCCTTTCCACCTCCCTGTCATTACTCTCTGTTTCTCTTTTCCAGTCGCTCCCCTTTCATTCTCTCCTCTCTAACATCCTCTTTTCATTTAGTGTCTCACTTTTTTCCCACTACAGTAACAACTGAGTGCAACAACCAGGGCCCTAGTATTTGAATACAACCTTGCAAGTAACAACATAGCTCACTTCAGCAGCCGGCCTCAGCACGAGCTCTCCACTCGGGACTAAAATGAAGCCGCTGAGTGTACGTAACCAGCACAGCATTATGGAAAGGAATGCAATAAAGGTATGATGCGAATGCTGCTCTGTAGATACAGTAAAAGTTAAGGAGCTTTGATGCTGCCACTGAACATTTTTGAGAGTCAGTGGACTCAATGGAAATACATTCAGTTCTCTTCTATCAAGTTTCATTGAGACTGTTTAATTAAAAATGCGATTCATGTCAATGCATTCCCCAGCCAGTAAGAAGTACGCTTTTCTTTTGCTGTGTATATCTCGGTTCTTGCAAAGCCAAGGCAAAGGCAAGAGAAAAGCCACGGTCAATTGTATATTAAATTCTTGTGTTATTACACACAAATCTTTTACACAGCGCGTCCACCATTACATTTACTAAGGTGCTGATTTTGTGGTACTTTACTTGAGTATTTACATACTTTTACTACATACTTTTTTACTTTTTGGGAAAATAGTTACTAACTTTTTCCACCCCTGCCAGCCCATCAGGATTGGATAAGACCTGAACACAGTATACGTTTTGGGCAAAATACAAAAACAATCCAGGCAGCGGGTTATTCACTCTGTTATGTACTAATGCCCCTCATTGTACTTCCACTAGAGAGCTGCGGCAATATTGCTGATAACAAGATTAAATTGCAATAGTTTATTGGTCCCTGCGGGATCATTTCCTCTTCACCGCTTCCTTTCAGTGAGGTCAGATAGAGAACAGTGTCACCTTCAGGACAGCTCGAAACAGTTTAGAAGGCCGTTCATTTGCCAAGGCTTAAACCTGAGTCATTCAGTCTAAAGAAAACAAAACAGTGATTCTAAGACAGAGGGCAGTGTTACAATCTCAGCACTTTAAACACTAACAGGTGACAAGAAGCCAAGAGCTGAATGGGGAATCTGGCCAAGAGCCACAAGCTACTAGGTCAGTTACAACATTGCTCAACTACAGTATTAGAAAAGTTGCTATAAATTAGCTATTTTACCTGAACAACCAGTTCAATTTAACAATTAATTGGTCCAGTCAGGGCTTCCTTTGAAGAGGCAGAAAGGAGAAGACTAAGTGACTGAAATGTAGTAACAGTTGTCCTGTGGGTGTAGGCTAGACAGCAGTGAAGTGACTATTGTACTATTTGTGCAGTCTGTACAGCACTCTAGTGACAACCCTCTTTGGGAGTCTAGCCTGGACTGCAGTGTGGTAGCAACTGTGCTTTATAGTCAGTGAATGTGTAAGAGTATTATGGTAGCAACTCATGAGTGACAAATTACATTTGTACAGTGTATGTGTTAACTACAATAAGAATGCTACTCATTTTTGGTCTTATTCCTATAGAAAGCAAACAGTCCACAAAGCATGTTCAAGTATAGTCCAAAGGCCTAATATAAAGAAAAATACTGTCATTGAGACTTGTGTACAGTATTAACAGGTGTACTATGCCGTAATAACCGCACTGTGTGTAGAGTTGAAACTGCAGTAGTAAAGTATGTGTTTTGGTGCTGTAGTCAGTTTTTTAATATGTTCATCCTCTCTTAACTGCCTGCCTCCATTTACACCCCCCATGCCCGCCGTTCTGCCTTATATAATCCCTCTGTTGTGTTACTGCGTTCTCATTCAGCACTGTAAGATTTCTTGTCTACGTGGGTTGTGTGTGCGTGTAGCAGATTGCAAGGGGCATGTGGTGGATATGTGTGTGTGTGTGTGTTAAGCCTGGCAGAGGAACACTAAGCCAACTGGCTGACGTCGCTTAGCAAGAACACCCAGCACTGCCCACCCAGAGAGCAGGGTAAGAGAACGGGGTGTGTGTGTGTGTGTGTGTGTGTGTGTGTGTGCAGCTCTGGCCTCTCTGTCCGGAGACCTGAAGGGGAAATACTTCGCCCTGAAGAACATGACGGACGCCGAGCAGCAGCAGCTGATCGACGATCACTTCCTGTTTGATAAGCCGGTGTCTCCTCTGCTGCTGGCCTCGGGGATGGGCCGCGACTGGCCCGACGCCCGGGGCATCTGGTGAGCGCTCGTCCTCACCGTGTGTTTCTGTTGGATTGAATTCATGAGGAAACTGAATAATGTCGTCTGTCTGAAGGCACAACGACAACAAGACCTTCCTGGTGTGGGTGAACGAGGAGGACCACCTGCG